TGACGAATAGTGACATTCGGGCCTTGCGCTTCTTCCATGCTTTCACACCGACCACACACTCACCGCCCAACTGCCATACCTATGATGGACGAGGCCACGCAAGGGGAGGTCACGATCTACGGCGATGAAGGGGGCCAACAACTGAGCTGTGCCCGGCTGGAGGCGGAGCGCGCCGAAGTCGAGGCCGAGCGGGTGCGGCTGGCCGAGGAGCGGGCGGTCGTCCAGGAGGCGAGAGCCAAGCTGCAGCACTCCCTGCCCGGCCCGCACGCACGGGTCAAGCTCAACGTGGGTGGGCAGGTATTCGTCACCTTGCTCGACACCATCCGCGGGCGCGAGCCCCGCTCCTTCTTCACCGCCCTCTTCTCGGGCCTGTGGAAGGCCGACACAGACCCCGACGGAGGCTTCTTCATTGATCGGTACCGCTTCAGCATCGTGACGTGGACAGCCTCCTTAAACTGACCCTTACCTCACTCACCAGGGATGGAAAACACTTTCGGCGGATATTGAACTATTTGCGGACTGGCGAGCTGGTGCTGCCCACGGACGAGGGGGAGCGCAGGGAGCTCCTGCTCGAGGTCGATTTCTACCAACTCCACGACCTGCTCGTCGACATCCACGCAACCACCACCTCCCAGGAGGCGGTTACCACATCATCTTCATCATCATCCGCGGGCGGCACATTCCAGGGCTCGATCCTGCTCGACACCTCCCAGCAGCGCCAGCTCGCCGATTGGTTACCGCGCCACGTCGTTTCTTCGATCGAAGAAGCGGCAGCCGGCCAATGGGCGCTCCTCTACCGCGCGTCGAGGGACGGGCCGACCGGGGAGTCCTTCCACCGGCTGTGCGACGACCGCGGACCCACCTACGTCGTCATCCGGTCCACCACGGGCCACCTCTTCGGCGGCTTCGCGGCCGCGGCCTGGAATTCGACGCATGCCGGGTACCAGGCCGATGCTGACGCGTTTTTATTCACGCTGGCCAATCCGCACGGACTCCCGGCGACGCGCTACCCGGTGGCCGTGCCCAGCCTGGCCACCTACTGCCTGCCCCGGTGTGGCCCCTGCTTCGGGCTGGACATCTTCGTGCCGGCCGCGTTCGCCCACGCCAGCATCAAGTTCCCCAGCTCCTACGCCGACTCTACGGGCCTCAGCGACCGCACCTTCACCGGCCACTCGGAATCGTGGCGCCTCGCCGACCTCGAAGTCTTTGGCCTTTCCTCTTCGTCACCGGCGTGATTCTCTTTCCTCTTCGCAGCGTCAGTGTGTCGACCACAGAACTACTTATTTTTTATTTTAAAAAAAACAATAAGAAAGAAATAATACATAGAAAGTATAAGATGGAGAAGCCACGGCTGCCGATGCGGCGCTCGAGGGGCTCTCTGAGGTGCCAGAGCGGCACAATGGCGTTGGTGTGGGCGGTGGTAGTGGTGGTGCTGACAGTCACCGCAAGTGCAGTTGGTACAACTCTCTCCACAACCACCCCTTCTTCGGGCGCGGTTTCCACAGCACCACCGGCAACGCAGCAGGCGAGTGGCGACCGGTGCGCCCAGTGCGAGGCCTTCCTTCGGCACGCGTACATATTGCCCACATCTTGAGTGATGAGATCAGATCAGATCACAGATGCTCATCTTGGCAGCAACCTCCCCTTGGGTGCTACAGGCCGGGCCGTACCAAGGCCTGCGAGGAGCTGTGCGCGCTGACGTGGCCCGATTACAACTGCAAGTGCGTTCTTTTCCCTGTGTGTGTCGTTGTGTGTGTGTGTGTTTTGTGCGTGTGTGCTGACGTGTGTGTCGCGTGCGCCCGGGAAGCTGGATATGCACGCGACTGGCGGAGCTGCACTATGAGGGCAGTGAGTCGCCGTGCTGGGACATCGGGTACTGCAAGGAGCGCGAGATCCGCGAGGTCCAGGAGAAGCAACGCCAAGAGGAGGTGCCTACCTCGCATTCCACTCTCGCTTGTGTGGGGCGGGGCATGCCTCGCATTCCACACTGACCCGCAGCATTCCTCGCCCACGCAGGAGGAGCGCGAGAAGGAGCGGCTCCGGCGGGAGGCCCTGGAGGCGGCCGAGCGGCAGCGCGAGCGCGAGCGGCGCGCGACGGAGGAGGCCCGCCGGCGGAGCGAGGAGGCCGCCCGGCGCGAGATCGAGGAGCAGCGCAAGGCCCTGGCGGCGAGCGAGCTCGAGCGCGAGCGCAAGCTGCTCGCCGACGAGTGGGTCCGGCTGCAGCGCGAG